TTGTCTTGTCTTCGTCACGGTGTATGAAGTGACGTAGGACTTTATAGGCCGAAGGAAGGTCTAGATGCCTGTTGATGGAGTTGGCATCTGAGTACCAAGCATCAAGAGTGAGACGCTCAGTCCTTGAGGTGCCCCTGCCTATGACGGCTGCTCCTTGAAAATCAAAACTGTGACCAGTTTCTCCGATGTGAGCCGCAAGCTGTGAGTTTGGGTCTAGTCTCCGTGTTGCCAGTTTGTGCTCATGTAGGCGGGTCTGCAATTTCCGTCCGGTTTCCCCAACGTAGTTGCAGTCTCCATCCTTACAACGTATTGGATAGACAACTGCTGAGGTTTCAGTGAGTGGCAGTATGTCTTTGGGGTCGATGGGCAATACCTACCCTGGCGGGCTGTAGCAGTCTTCAAACCGCTTCGGAGACTCCTTTAATGTAAGGAATAGCCCTCCAGACTTCAGGTTATTCTTCTTGTGGCCGTCGTCTGTTCACTCGGCGCTTGCTTTGCTTGATGAAGTGGCTTGGGTATCCATTGGTTTGAAAGAGATCATGAAGATATTGTCGTTCAACTCTTTTGTCGGCTGGTGTGCTGCAGTGTGTTTCAACTCTTTGGAACAGAGTACGGACACAGCTGCGTTTGTGAGAGAGGGGGTGATTGCTGTTGAAGTGCAGTATTTGTCTTGTGTTGGTGGCTTTTCTGAAAACGTTAGTTTGTAATTCTCCAGTTGCACACCGACGCACAAGGACATCGAGGAAGGGAAGTTGGTTGTTTGTTTCGGCTTCCATCGTGAATTGGATATTCTGGTCAACCGAGTTCAGTAATTCTTTAAGGTGCTCCACGTCAGATGATTTGACAATGGCGAAGGTGTCATCGACGTAACGAGCCCAGAACTTTGGTTGATACTTGGTGAACACCAAGTGTTCTATCCGTTGAAGAACCACTTCAGCAATCAGCCCTGATATGGGGAAAAAAGTACCAAGCCTCAAGAGTGAGACGCTCAGTCCTTGAGGTGCCCCTGCCTATGACGGCTGCTCCTTGAAAATCAAAACTGTGACCAGTTTCTCCGATGTGAGCCGCAAGCTGTGAGTTTGGGTCTAGTCTCCGTGTTGCCAGTTTGTGGTGGACTAAAGACCAAAGTGTTCAGGAAAGCGACAAATACGATGCAAGTACTGAACTTCAACAATAACCACCCAATCAGCCACAAACGCAGTTGTGTAAGGACGCTCTTTCGGCGTGTCGAAACGCACTGCAGTGAGCCGGAAGACAAAATTGCTGAACTACAATACCTCCGACGGGTCTTCAAAGCCAATGGCTACCCGCGCAACTTCGTCGACCGGTGCATACGCAAAAGGGACGAAAGGCCTAACCGCACGGACACCAAGTCTTGGCGGGCACTTCCGTATGTCAAGAACGTTTCGGAAGCTGTCGGCCGCCTTCTCGCACCACTTGGGGTTGGAGTGGCACACAGACCGGAGGCAACCATCAGGCGTCTGATCATGAAACCGAAAGACCCACTGCCACGGCTAGAAACGTCTGGAGTCGTTTATCGGATCTGGTGCAGTTGCGGACAAAGCAACTACGTCGGAGAAACCGGAAGACAGCTCCGAACGAGAATGGCCGAACACGCGGCAGCGGTGCGCAGAAATGACGCCAGCTCTCAAGTTGCGGCTCATTCTACGAGATCCGGCCACACATTTAAATTCGATGAGGCCGAAATTCTCGCAAGAGGTGACAACCGAGTGAGCCGAGAGCTACTGGAGTCATGGTTTACTGGCCCCCAGTCCATCAACAAGTGCAACGATCTTCCCATTCAATACAGCGTGCTGCGACTTCGTCTAGGCGGAGTAATTGGCCACGCGGGGAGCGCACTGGTGAACACTCTTCCCAACACCCGGGTCAACGCGTCAGATGGTCGAGCAATCATCACGCCAACCTCCAACGCACGTGATGAAATTGCAGCAATTGTCGACTCGAATGTCGGCCATCAAGCAATGATCACACCAAGTGTGACAATCCCGGATGAAGGGGGAAGCCGTGAAATTTCATAGGTATGCGGTAGCATGGCTGCTGCATCCTATAAATACCGCAGCCCCTTGTGCAACAACCACCCGTTTCTACTCTTTTGTCTCTGATGATGGATTCGAGTAGGAATCCGAAACGTCAGGCTAATAAAGCTTTTGTCCCGGCGATCGTGTCTCCTTCTTCAAGATATCTGAATACCTCAGTGTCCTCCTCTTGAATGCAATGTTTATAGTGAGAAGAGGAAGAGGACGACCGACTGTCTTCGCCCACCGCAAAGATGGCGGGAAAGCTCGAAAGTAATTCCGAAATATATCGGTAAGCATGACATAAAAATCCATGTCTTCATGGTCACCTCTAAGACTCTGAATTAACCAAGATTGGATAGTCTGCCCCTCAGAGGACACAGGTTGGTGGAGGAAGGGACATTCATCTCCCGCTTTCGCCTCCCACAAGATTGAAAATGAGTGCGAATGCAGACCACAATGCAGATACTAAAAAGCCGCACTTGGGAAGTTACACAGATAGACTAAGCTCTCCGTTGTGTGAAGTTTTTCGGATAAGGGAAGAAACAACAAGAACTCTGCTCCTTAAACGATCATGGCGTTCCATTTTATTTCTACCGAAGTCTGGGAATTTCGTACGGAACTGAATCAAACTGATGAAGTATTCGCTAGAAGGTTATAATATGATTTCGGTCGAACATGATTAGTTTTTCGACGTGATAGTTCTCACCAGTATTCAGTATAATCTCAAGGCATTTCGTACATGCCAGGACGTTGGTTCTTTGTCGAGGATTTTTAGTCTGCTTATAAATCAAAGATCATGTTATAAGATGTATGCACCGAGGCCTTCTTCCAACTGCTTATTTTGTAGAACGGTATGTCTTCGTCAGATTTCTATCTGACGAATATTTTCGGTTTAAATACAGTGTATAATTAGGAGAAACCTTAAAAATGAGAAGTGCATGTTTAAATGGCATCACATGTGCACGATTATTAGTGCTAATATTGGCGTGAAATACATGGTTCGTTACACATTACAGTATCTTATGAGTGATAAATGACCTTTTCTCGATAATATGCGAAAATTTACGGTTTCTACTAAATGGAAAGTGTTCAACGTACGATTTCAAAATTCTTAACTTTGACTGATGGCAAAAAAGTAAACTATTCGACAGCCAGTAAACACCAACTGGGCCGATACACACGGGTTCCTAAAATAGAAAACTTGGATGAGATGCTCTTTCTTGCAAAATAACAAATAAATTCATACCTTTCCCAACATGCGTCTGAACATACAAATGCATTGAAAATCGACGAGAAAAATCAAACTAATAGGCAGTCCTCTTTAGCGAGCGAGACTTCTGAAACTGGTCAAAATTCAGCATCCTGAAATGGATGAACCAACTCGTGAAGTGGCATCGAAATTTGAATAGGTAGTAGGTCAGAGAAATGGTGCTGTTACTTATGGTGGTTCGTTTGTTTTGAGGCACATAAAGCTACTCAGTAAATAAGAATTCATTTCAAATATGTCTTATGAGAGGAAACTAGGCCAGATTTTGCCAAAGCACGACCTTTCTTCATATCCAAGTAATTTCCTATGCTACTGAAATTCACATGTCAAAATCTCGTGTTTATGCGCATGAGTATTAATTTAAGTAAGAAAACTTTAAAGTAAATCTTTTTAGAAACAGAAAACTGGATCTTTTGTCCATTAAAATAGGGTGAATGAATATTGCAAAAATCGTGTCGTTTTCAAGAAAAAAAGGCGAATTCGAGGTCAAAAAGCTTCATTCCCACTTTGTGGAGATATGTGCCATAAATTTCAGTAATGAAATTGTTTGGAAGTAGTTTTTGCTACACCGAGATTTACTAGGCGCAAACAAATATGCATTGAGTACCCGAAACACGCTCTCACTCTTCTATGTCGGGAAGTGCGATAAAGATGTTCGGACATTTTCTATCAGCACGAGCTGACACGGAAATTAGCGGTAGAGGGTTTGTCACGTGATTAGTTAGTATTTTTAGTACCAGTAAGGTCATTTTGTGGCGAATTAGTGATGAAAGAACCGCGCCCACAACTAAGCAGGGCGGACATAAATAGTCCACAAGAAAGCAGGACGACGATTTTATCCACCTTCCGTCCATTTAGACCACTCACTAGGAACATCTACCGATGTTCTTTTGAACATAATTAGGAAAGGGATGCAGACCTTTGAACTTCACAAACAAAAGCGATGATCGAGCCGTTTTCAAGTAGAAAGTTTGTCAGTGAGCCTTTTTTTATTTTCTATGTCAGGTTCTCATTCTGGAAGACAATCTCTTCTGCGATGTGGTCTAATTTTTAGATAAGCCTAAGAAGTCGACTCAGATGGGCAGCTTTGAAAAGGACTTTCCAAAGGAGAATACTGCGCCGACGGCAATCTCCATGAAATGTTGACGGCGAATAGGCCGGATAGCCTGCAGATTCGGAGATTGGCTAGTCAGGGGGTCTACACGTCAACAGCAGGATTTCCGTCGATATTGTCAGGAATGTCTTTGGTTACAACGCCATCTCCTGACTCCGACTGAATGCCATAATTTTGTGGTGAGGTACCTGACTAATTTACCTTTGGCAATTTAGTCCCATTTCCTTTGACCGCATTGCTTGTTTGAATGTGACGAGAAACGACACACCTGTACAACCCGCCGTGCTAGCGTGCTCTGCTGTGGTATTCTGTTGTCAGTTTTCTTAACGTTCAAAAACCTCTATATTATTCACTGCTCCGATTTACTTGCTGCATTTAAGACTAGGGGCTCGTGAGATATAACTCGTTAGTTCGTGAGAACATTACGATTTACGACATTGGTGACTCCCGACGTTTACGCAGACTTTATAGCTTTCTGTCATACTGGATAACATTTAACGTACTATTTGCTTGTGAATATCTATTCCATTTACATTTACTTTCCTCACGAATTCTGATATTTTGACATCTCTGTCATATTATGTCTCACTCCGATCAAAAACTTGATGCCCCCGCCCAGTCCCTTCATGCAATCAATTTTACTTTGCCTGAATTCTGGCAACACGCTCCAGAACTTTACTTCATCCGCATAGAATCAGCCTTTAATTCTGCCAACGTTACCAAGGAGCTAGCAAAATACCACAAACTCGTGGAGGTCCTCCCCGCTAGTGTCATCTCTCAAGTTCAGTCCTTGCTAGCTAATCCTCCTGCAGATGCTCCCTACTCCGCGTTAAAGGCAGAAATCCTCCGACTTAATTCTGTGTCTGACCGACAGAGGTATCACCAGTTAATTAAGGAGGAGTCATTGGGTGACCGGAAGCCCTCAGAGCTTCTACGTCGGATGCGTTGTCTCCTTGGAGACATGCAAGTTGATGATAAATTTATCAAGGAGATGTTCCTGGAGCGCCTGCCCACAGATGTTCAAACGATCCTGGCGTCCGGCTCTCAGGATCTCACAGTGTCACAGTTGGCTGAGATGGCGGATCGAATGATAGAGGTGCAACGATTCCAGTCACCTTCCGTTGCCCAGATCTCATCCTCATCGTCAGTGAATGAGCATTTACTAAAACAGGTGTCGGCCATGGCAGATGAGATGGCCTCTCTTAAAATACAGCTCGCCCGCCTAACTTCCAGTCGCTCACGCAGTCGTCGTCGTTCTCGTTCGCGACCTCGGACTGCTGATACTTGCTGGTACCACACTAATTTCGGCGTAAAGGCCCGTCGCTGTTCCTCACCTTGCTCTTTTAAGCCAAAACAGGGAAACCAGTCAGCCAGAGAATAGATGCGACCGTTTTCTCTGGCTCCTCCGGCTCTGGTCGCACCTT